ATCCGGACAGTTATTTTTATTGAAAACCAATAATCATCACAGATGATGCCACTGATGAAGATGCAGAAGGACGATTTTTCTTTAATTTACCATATTCAAAAGGGAGGATTTGGCTTACATACTACCTAGACGGGTCGAGGAACACTGATGTTCTTTTTTTTTACGTGACAGGAGGAAAACGAGCAGACGGATCACCTGATGGTAAGTGATTACCGAACGTACTGTTGTAGACTGCCAACCATCTAAGTGATGGGGATGGATGGATTTCTTTCTTAGTCGCCTTTTGTGACATACAGGAGAAGAGGGGAAATGTTGTACTCTATTAAAATTTACGCATTAACCAGAATTATGCGACTCCAAACGCTACAAAAATTTAATAACTAAGTATTTATTACTTGTTTGTCATTTTATAAAATGAATTAATTTAAGAACTCTTGAAGTTCATTAATGTACAACACTACGTACTTACATCCACTTACCATATTTTCGTATACGGAACTCTTTACCAAATATTCGGCATAATTTACAGCGTCTTCAATATTGACTTAATTTGGCATGTTCCACGGGGAAAGGGCATCCGAGGTCATTCAGATGTATTTAGGGCGCTTAGATCTTTAGCCTTTGACTCTTATCGTGTAGTAATTAGGGATCTCAAAGATTTTACTGTAAGGTTATTACTTTGATATACAGTAATCACTAAGTGCAATTAATTTTCACTTGTAACTTCCACACGTTCGTAGTCCCTTTGGGCACATTCTATACTATATAATGCAGATAACATTTCTGTTCGTCTTTTCAATATTTTTCCACACGTAACCTGTGATTTTTTTGGATAATTTTTGGATAAGTGATTTAGTTTTCATATCTGGGATTACAATCCCTGAAATGGAGATTCATAATGCTTTGGTACGAAATAAAGTTTTATAGGTCGTGAGACGCGTAATAAGGGAAATATACTGTGATATTTTGATGTTAACTTTCATATAAACTCGAGTAGAAGTTAGTTAACAATAAAAGATTCAATCTAGAAATGAAAGGATATAATTTCAGCTGGATACTTTGATCTGTCAGTTATAATTTAGTAAGGAACTCATTCATTATTTAATAAAAATAACCTTATTGAAAATTACACTCCATTAAAATAATTTAATAAGCCAGTTATCCGTAGAATTACTATCCAATTTGTTTTTAGAGCTGTTTTATGCGCGTATCCGCCTATTACCTAGTCGTTTTACGATACGGCCCTATTACGTGTGGGTAATAGCGATTATTCTATAGCAATTGCTATCAAACGTGCCGTTTCTTATCCAACAATATAAAGGCCGTAGCATACTTAGCAAGTATCGGGTTGATACTTGCTAAGTATGCTACTGAAAGGGATCGTAACCGGCAATGAAACTCCATTATCAGCACCGTAACGTAAGACGCCTCGCGGTTGACAGTGCGCGAAAGGCGACGACAGCTCGTGGCAGGTGATACGGTGTTATTGATCCCTTTCCGAGTTGATAAGTCTGCTATGACCTTAAAGTTTTAATCCAGACATACCTAATTTGATTATTTATACACCGGCTTTTCACTGGAAGATGACCAGTGAAGGCCGCAGAAGCGCCTGCAAGGCCTGCATACCTACAGGCAGCGCAGATCTGGCTAATAGGTACAGAATTATGGCCCTGGGGTTTCAAAAAGTCTTCAGCAGAAGAAGTCTTTCGAGTAGTACAAAACTTCAAACTCATAGCAAACTTTAAACTCTAGATTTATACAATGAGGGTTTTCGCGTATGAAAGATGCGCTAGATGGCGGGACGTGGATGTGGGGTCTGACTGCTGCGTGATTGGTGGATTTTGACATATCTGTCAATGTTATGTCAAAAATAACCAATCATACAGCATTTGGACCTCGCGTCTACGTATTGCCATCTGGCGGATTTTTCATACGCGAAAACCCTCATTAAAGTAAGGCTTTTTATTGTCTTTTGGCTAGAACTATTGTATTTAGTATGTCACCCCTTGCTGTCTGTCTAATAACATGTCGACGAATTAATAAATAAAAAAGCTGCACTGAAGCCATCATATTTCTAGAAACTTTAACCATCCATAATTAACCCTCACATGCGCGTGCGTCGCATCCAGTACTAAAATCGCGTCAAATGCTCGTTGCCGTTGCGCAAGACACATCGTGTTGATCTAAAAATAAATATCGGTACTGGATTATGTTATTTCAGGCGTTTAAATGCTAATTATGGCAAAGGAATGCGTCACAAGAAAGCAATTAATTTTATCTGCCTAGCAAATGACTGAGCACAGTGGTTAGAAGTGCTCTTTTAAAAAGTATTATTTATTAAAACTGCGTGTCTGACTCATTGACTGCTACTGGTCACTACGAAACTGTTATTCTTTTTTTTACAACGATCTAATTTTCATTGTTCCGTTTTAATGTTTCTTCCTTCAAATTAACTCGTTAGCTTTCGTATTTTTTAAGTTTGCTGTATCAGTTTCTGTATGGGAAATTTTCTTCAAATAAAAGATATCCCAATCGTTAGACAATCAGCTGAGAGAATAACCACAAGTACTTTTAAGTAAAATTTTATCAATATAAAAATGCCAATTACATGAACTAAGCCAGTAAGAAAAAACATGTTTTTTTTTTGGCAGACCTACAGCACTCACATACCTATGTACCTTGTGAAGTAATGCATTATCATCATAAGAGTTTCAACACAACAAAAGCCTATACAAAAATACCTACATCACATTCCGAAGGGTCCAATCAAACGCGATGTTGTGTCATCGTTAAACAGTATCAATATCTATAATTACTAATTACACCCACATGTAATTAGTCGGCTGATAGTTTTCATCATTTTAATTAAAGCACAAAAGTCGCGAGTGGCGCCCCGCTGCGGTGCAGAGAAACAATAAAGCATCACAATGTACGTCGGCGCTTGTACTTGTAGGTCCGATTGAAAAATGTTATTGATAGCTAAATGTAATTAAAAGATGCCTGAAAATTTAATAATAAACTAAGATTGTTAAGCAATTACATTAAGAATAAAATAGGCAAGTTTTTTTTACCACCATCGTCGTCCTTTAATTAGGCTCCACTACAGGAGCACGACACGACCTTTTCTTAGGCTGAGTTGCACCACCTAACTTTAAAGTTAACGATAAGCAGTGCTTTTTGTATGGAGTTTGACAGATTTTTGACGTTTGTAAAAGGTAAAGTAAGATGGTGCAACCCAGACTTACTCTCTAATTTACCACAGGCATTCGGAGGATAAGGCCTACACCCCTCGCTCGGCTATACAGGTTGGGTAGGACATATTTTATTTTATGTAAATTAAAAAGAAGTAAAGCCACGGTACCCGACAAGGCCAGTTCTTAGCCGTCGTATGAGTCACATACGTGACTGTACTCCGAAATTAATTACTTCATTATAAACTATTGATTAATTAACTGGACCTTGGTTTTACGACCCATTTCGAGTCCGAATCAAGATAAGATATACCTATTCTAAATACTTACGAACTATTATGAAAATAGGGACAGAATTCTTCACACCTTTCGTTCCTGCCATTGCACTTGGACGTGTTTAGGCTGTTTTTTATACAGTATTCTTAATTTAAATTGCAAGATAGGATAGTTTTTTGCATTCGTCCTGAAGAGTAGTTCAATTTGGCTTCAAACTTCAAAACCACTTTTAATATTCCAAGAACATTCCAACAAAAAATGCATAATACATCATTCACATGAAAGTTTATCGTGAAAAAGTTACACATTTAAGAAATTAAGTATTCCTGGGGTACGATAGCACACCAAGTCAGTTAGACTAAACATTGTAGCACTTTAAACAGTTCTAATAAGTGCGATTTTTCAACAAAATTGTGATTTGGTGTCGACTGTACGTAAGACCACACGTTAAGGGTCACATGTAAAGATATCTGACCTGGATCACAAAAGGCAATCAATGCTACTACGAGTACAACAATAGATATACCAGAGAGTAGGCCCTAGAGAAAAAAATCATATCATTAGGAAAAGTAGGTAGACGTGGCTTTAGTCGAGAAGAAGCAGGTAAAAATGCTTAAAAAAATCATAGCATTCTCATAGGTATTTGATGACAATCTAAAATAGTTTTCTGCCTTTACGATATATTATAAAGATGCGATTACGCTGCGGCGTGTAAGGGCTATATTTCACAGGGACACCATGGCGGCGCAACCAGTCGCCGCTACCAACAAAATGTATGCAGCTTTGCGCAACCAAACGGACACCAGGTGAGCAACTCTCTATAGAGCTGTATACATTTTGTTGGTAGCCGGCGACTGGTTGCGCCGCCATGGTGTCCCGGTGAAATATAGCCCTTAGGCGAGTGAGCTTTACATGAGTGTGGTGGCTCGCTACTGTTCGTTCTTCAAAAGTTTTGATAGACATTACACTATCGTTATGTAAAGCTCACTCGTATTCATGAGTTGCAAGAACAATAATTTATCAATTCAGTAATATTTCATCTTAATTTTACAATAATTTCGGTCTCTATTAATCTAATAGAGAGTAAGAAAATGAGGAGTAAGACTACTGTTTCCAATGTTTGTTATGTGACTTCCGTGTGATCGTTAATAGAGTAGTTAACCACACATTTTCAAGAAAGTGGAAGGTCCTTGCTGACTTTCTAAACTTGTTATTTTTCTAAACAGGTCAAGAGCAATGTAGTATTGGACTGACTTCTAAAAAACTAGCTTTTTAAAAAAACTGATTAGTGGGCACTGGGTTGTACGTAGATCTGACAGCCGATAGGGCAAAAAGGTTCTGTAAAGGTAGACACAGCCTGAGGCGTCGACCCAAAATGTAGATAAAGGAACTAAAAGGTTGCTACCAATCTGAAAAAAGTGATGGTCGCAGTGGATACACCTATGGCTGAAGATGCTAATGAAAAGTAACTGCGACATGCTAGCGACTATTTATAATTTTCTATAGCTAATGAGACAATTTCTTTCTTTCCAGAATGCGTAGAAGCAGAAAAAGAAGAAAACTGTCTCGAAGCACAGAGTTAGCGAGGCGCACGCGCAGCGCAGCCAAGCCTACGTCAGACCCGGACTGTCCGGGGCTCGGCCGTCGGTACCACGAGTGCAACACTGCGGTAAGTTCGCTAACTGAAATTACTTATGCCAAATCCTCCTTTTTGCCTCAAACAGTCGTCCAACTACGATGGAGACTAAATGATGCTACTGTTATGCCATAACAAAAGACCGTTTTATAGAACTTCCTACTAGTTTACTTCAAACTCTACTATGATAAAAGTTACGCAAGAGTTGTGTGCGCGTACAATGAGTTTACGTTAGGTTAGGTTTGCTCGCTAGCGACCGCGTAAAAAAATAACATGAAATGTATGAAACATTGTACAGCGCCCCTAGCGGCTACTTTCAAAAACTAAAATCTTCATAGATATTTTGACGCACTCGCTAGCGAGCACACCTAACTTAAACTCGTCGTATAAGCACACTGATCGTGAAATCCAAAAAAACGTCATCCTGAATAATGCAATTTTTAGTTTTCTTAACCGACTTCAAAAAAGGAGGAGGTTATTTATAAGAGGGAATCCTTGAAACAGAATAAAAACTTACGATCCCACTAATAACGACATCTAATAATTGTGATTAAAGCTAAAGAATATAATAAATTAATAAATGAAATCTAACAAATATATTGGTTGGTTTTCAGCCATGTCCCGGGCCGCCGCGGGACCCGCGAGCCGAGCAGTGCGCGATCTATGACAGAAGGCCGTTCCGGGGACACTTCTACACCTGGGTGCCGTATGTTGATGGTAAGTTATATATGATTTTCGTACTGGTGTAAAAGATAGGTGGCAAAAAGTAAGCATACCTCTCACTCTCCTCTCTTCATATTTTATAAGGAACCAAAGTAAAGTCACACCCAATCGGAAAGCTGTATTTTCGTGCTCGATGCTTAATGGTTTGATTTTTCGCTAAAATTTCTCAGACCTAAGGCAAGGCATATGCAACGCATTGGTTTTGAAATAAGTTATTACATTTTGTTTTAATGTTTTGAAAAAATAATTTCAAAAACGTTTAAAACCCGACATAATATGTTTGTGCCAATTTAATTAATTAACCATCCGCGAGATTCAAGTCCACAACCACAGCTGGCCTTAAAGTCTATTATAGGTACCAGCCACCAGGCCAAACTATTATCAACGAGAGCTCATCCATATTTCTCACCCTTCTCTTATTCTTTGTTTAATTCTCCCAACCTTTATTGCTTCCAGGTGACTCCCCCTGCACCCTGAACTGCAGACCGCGGGGCCAGCAGTTCTACGCGTCCCTCGCTCTAGTCACAGATGGGACCCCGTGCACCAGGCCTGGCTTCAGGGCGATATGCGTGCAAGGCTCCTGCAAGGTAAGTGGCTGGAAATATTTATTGGATTATAATGGAAGAAAAAGTCCTAAAAAAGAAGAAGTGCGATCTGATCACAATTAATGAATAAACAAAAGGTATTTTTATAGTCTAGTCATTTGATTTGAAACAAGTGAAGTCAATATAAAGCTTGTAAAAATGTGTTCTTTCCGAAGGGCATATTAAAAGAAATAAATGTTACCAATTTTATAAAGTCCCGGAAAGCTTTCCAGGTAAAACTTCCCAATTACTGGACAATGAGGGCTATCGTTTTAGCGCTCAACAGTTAGCGCCTCTGTAGAGTAAGGTCCTGTCACTTGCTAGTAGCGAAGACAGTGGCACCAACTGGTGAGCGCTAAGGTGGTAGGAGGACTATCGAATTTGCACTCATCAAGATGGCGCCACTGTAGCCCTTTACACACGACGATACACGTACGTGAGAGTAACTTTGAAAAAATCTCATGCCCATGTAAACTTGTTTTTGCGGCCGCAATCGGCAGCGATCGCTCGTGAGAGATATTTACTCGCACACAGTGCCGCTCATTTAGTGTTGGGAGCTGTCAGTGNGGTGATGACAGCTCGCGAAAGGTGATGACAGCTCGCGAAAGGTGATGACAGCTCGCGAAAGGTGATGACCAGCTTGCGAAAGGCGATGACAGCTCGCGAGAGGTGATGACAGCTCGCGAAAGGTAATGACAGCTCGCGAAAGGTGATGACAGCTCGCGAAAGGTAATGACAGCTCGCGAAAGGTGATGACAGCTCGCGAAAGGTAATGACAGTTCGCGAAAAGCGATGACAGCGCGAAAGGCGATGGTGTGTGGCGAAACCCCTTTCGAGTTAATAAGTCTGCTATGACCTATAGTTTTCAAAAGATGATTATTAAGGTAAACACCTGGAGATGTAGGTAGGAAGATGACCTGTGAAGGCCAAAGGAGCGTCTGCATATGGGCAGCTCAGATCTGACTAATACAGAATTTTGGTGCTGGTGTTTCAAAAAGTCTCAGTTCGTACACTGCTGAAGACTTTTTGAAATCCCAGGACCTTCAGGACCTTTCTTCTTTCGATTTAAGAGCAAAATAAATTACATAAATAAATAGTGAAAAAACTTCAAAATCATAACAAACTCTAACTCTAGACTTTATAAAATTAAAATAAGGCTTTTTTATTGTCTTTTGGCTAGAATTATTGTATTTAGTATGCCACCCCTTGCTGTCTGTCTAATATCATGTCGACGAATTAATTATTAAAAAAAAGTACACTGATGCCATCATATTTCTAGAAACTTTAAGCATCCATAATTAACCCTCGCATGCGCGTGCGTCGCATCCAGTACTAAAATCGCGTCAAATGCTCGTTGCCGTTGCGCAAGACACATCGTGTTGATCTAAAAATAAATATCGGTACTTGATTATGTTATTTCAGGCGTTTAAATGCTAATTATGGCAAAGGAATGCGTCACAAGAAAGCAATTAATTTTATCTGCCTAGCAAATGACTGAGCACAGTGGTTAGAAGTGCTCTTTTAAAAAGTATTATTTATTAAAACTGCGTGTCTGACTCATTGACTGCTACTGGTCACTACGAAACTGCTATTCTTTTTTTTTACAACGATCTAATTTTCATTGTTCCTTTTTAATGTTTCTTCCTTCAAATTAACTCGTTAGCTTTCGTATTTTTTAAGTTTGCTGTATCAGTTTCTGTATGGGAAATTTTCTTCAAATAAAAGATATCCCAATCGTTAGACAATCAGCTGAGAGAATAACCACAAGTACTTTTAAGTAAAATTTTATCAATATAAAAATGCCAATTACATGAACTAAGCCAGTAAGAAAAAACATGTTTTTTTTGGCAGACCTACAGCACTCACATACCTATGTACCTTGTGAAGTAATGCATTATCATCATAAGAGTTTCAACACAACAAAAGCCTATACAAAAATACCTACATCACATTCCGAAGGGTCCAATCAAACGCGATGTTGTGTCATGGTGAAACAGTATCAATATCTATAATTACTAATTACACCCACATGTAATTAGTCGGCTGATAGTTTTCATCATTTTAATTAAAGCACAAAAGTCGCGAGTGGCGCCCCGCTGCGGTGAAGAGAAACAATAAAGCATCACAATGTACGTCGGCGCTTGTAGGTCCGATTGAAAAATGTTATTGATAGCGAAATGTAATTAAAAGATGCCTGAAAATTTAATAATAAACTAAGATTGTTATGCAATTACATTATGAATAAATTTTAACTGAAATAGGCAAGTTTATTTTTTTTCTACCACCATCGTCCTTTAATTAGGCTCCACTACAGGAGCACGACACGACCTTTTCTTAGGCTGAGTTGCACCACCTAACTTTAAAGTTAACGATAAGCAGTGCTTTTTGTATGGAGTTTGACAGACTTTTGACGTTTGTTAAAGGTAAAGTAAGATGGTGCAACCCAGCCTTATTCTCTAATTTACCACAGGTATTCGGAGGATTAGACCTACACTCTCTCGCTGGCTGTACAGGTTGGGGAGGACATATTTTATTTTATGTAAATTAGAAAGAAGTAAAACCACGGTACACGACAAGGCCAGTTCTTAGCAGTCCTGTATGAGTCACGTACGTGACTGTACTCCGAAATTAATTACTTCATTATAAACTATTGATTAATTAACTGGACCTTGGCTTTACGATCCATTTCGAGTCCTGATATAGAATCAAGATAAGATATACCTATTCCAAATACTTACGAACTATTATGAAAATAGGGACAGGATTCTTCACACTTTTCGTTCCTGCCATTCACTTGGACGTGTTTAGGCTGTATTTTCATACAGTATTCTTAAATTAAATTGCAAGATAGGATAGTTTTCTGCATTCGTCCTGAAGAGTAGTTCAATTTGGCTTCAAACTTCAAAACCGCTTTTAATATTCCAAGAACATTCCAACAAAAAATACATAATACCTTATTCACGTGAAGGTTTATCGTGAAAAAGTTACACTTAGGCTGATTTGTACCACCTAACTTTAACGGTGACTATGACGATAACCGGTGCTTTTTGTATGGATTTTGACAGATTTTTGACGTTTGTCAAAGTTAAAGTAAGATGGCGCAACCCAGCCTTAAGAAATTAAGTATCCGTGGGGCACGACAGCACACCAAGTCAGTTAGACTAAACATTGTAGCACTATAAACAGTTCTAATAGGTGCGACTTTTCAACAAAATTGTGATTTGGTGTCGACTGTACGTAAGACCACACGTTAAGGGTCACATGTAAAGATATCTGACCTGGATCACAAAAGGCAATCAATGCTACTACGAGTACAACAATTGATATACCAGAGAGTAGGCCCCAAAGAAAAAATATCTAATCATTTACAAATAAATAATATTAAATCATTAGAAAAAAGGAGGTAGATGAGGTTATAGTCACTAATAGTCGAGAAAAAGCACGTAAAAACGCTTAAAAAAATCAAAGCATTCTCTTGATGATAATTTAAGTAAAACAGTTTCCTGCCTTTACGATAAAATATGAATTTGCTATTACTTACGTTTCGCGACGTTTCTTGATCTAGATGGTTAATTTATCAATTCAGTGATTATTTTATCCTAATCCTACTAATATTATAAATGCGAAACTTTGTGTGGATGTCTGGATGTTTGTTACTCTTTCACGCAAAAACTACTGAACGGATTTTGATGAAACTTTACAGTATTGTTGTTTATTACCCAGAATAACATACCTATAGGCTATCATTTATGACGACCTGTGGCAAAGTAAATTTCACGCAGGTGAAGCCGCGGGCTAGTTTGTTTTACAATAATTTCGGTCTTTATTGATATCAAGACTAAGAAATGAGGAGTAAGACTACTGTTTCCAATTTTTGTTATGTGACTTCCGTGTGATCGTTAATAGATAGTTAACCACACATTTTCAAGAAAGTGGAAGGTTCTTGCTGACTTTCTAAACTTGTTATTTTTCTAAACAGGTCAAAAGCAATATAGAGTATTGGATTGACTTCTGAAAAATTTGCTTCTTTAATAAAACTTGATTAGTTGGCACTGAAAAGGGTACATAGTACGTAAAACTGACAGCCGATAGGGCAAAAAGGTTCTGTAAAGGTAGACACAGCCTGAGGCGTCGACCCAAAATGTAGATAAAGGAACTAAAAGGCTGCTAACAATGTGAAAAAAAAGTGATGGTCTCTGTGGACATTCCTTTGGCTGAAATAATGTTTAAATGCTAGCGACTATATTTCAATAACTAATCAGACACTTTCTTTTCCTTCCAGAATGCGTAGAAGCAGAAAAAGAAGAAAACTGTCTCGAAGCACAGAGCTAGCGAGGCGCACGCGCAGCGCAGCCAAGCCTACGTCAGACCCGGACTGTCCGGGGCTCGGCCGTCGGTACCACGAGTGCAACACTGCGGTAAGTTTACTGACCGATATCTCGGACCATCTTTATCTACAAATGTTTGCAAATAACTTCATAGAAGACTTTCATACAAGTTTCATAAAATACCTTACCTCCTACCTGTTTGTTTTCTATACTTAAGATTCTTTTAGGATTAAATTTACATAAGCTAGAGCTGATCATGAAACAAAAAAAAAGTCGTCGTGAATACCGCAATTTAGCTTTCTATCTAAGAGTGAATCTTCTTCTTTGCCTGGCCCATTCCATCTGTACTTTTCATGATTTGAAGTTATGGTTATTAATATTAATAAGGCCACGGTGACCAAGGACTAAGAGCGTACCCAGACAAACATTTCGACAACCCAGGACAAATTGTCCTGGCGCCTCAAAACAAGGGGAGCCGACTCCAAATAATGGGAAAAGGGACTAAGGAAAAGAAGATCTTTTTAATCGTGAACTCTATTTAAGTGCGTGCTATTTAAAAAAAAACAATAATAATAAATAAAATCTAATAAGTATATTGATTGGTTTTCAGCCGTGTCCCGGGCCGCCGCGGGACCCGCGAGCCGAGCAGTGCGCGATCTACGACAGAAGGCCGTT